GTGGCCTATTCTCTCTGTTACCGGTAACGTAAATTTTGTTACTCTTCTTTAACACCCGAAATTGAATTTGGTATTCTGGCGAATTGGTTACAATGTTTGAAAAAAAAAATTGGCAGCACTGCTTTTTTCGTCCATGTCAAATTGCTTTTGCCAGTTGATAAAGTAAAAAAGGAAAATATTCACATCGAAATCGAAGACAGTGCACAAAAAAATTAAAAAGTTTTATTAATTTGTTTATTAAATCATAAATATTTGAACCTAATTATGGAAAATAAATACAAAGCTGTATGAAAACGATATCTTACAAATTAAAGGACTATTTTTTAGTCTCGAAAACTTCTCAAAATACGGTTTTTTGCACTTTTTTCTTCATCTTCAATGAATTCCAGGGTTAATATATGCCTACCGATTTTGGTTTTTATTTTTTCTCAAATTTACAGCTCAAAATCAAACAGAAGATATGTTTGTTACCTCCTATTTCGCTGGTAACAAAATTTACTAGGTGACAGTGAGCTCAGAATACGAAATGGTAACAAAATTTACTGAATGGTAAATTTTAATACCTAGTTAAATTTTGTTACCTCGACAGAATACACGGTGTGTCCCAAAGATAGCCGAACTTTTTGGATATAAAATAAAATACACATTATATTATCTTTGAAAGTTATTATTTATTCAAAATATGTTCCATTTGACTCAACACAACGTTTGGAACGATCAACCAGCGCACGCATAGATTTTTTTATGTCATTTATAGAAATGTTCTTTAGTACCTCGGTTACGGCTGTAGGCCTGGCATTTTGGCAACTTCAATTGCTACTATAACTTTCCACAAAAAACTGAAAAATTTCAAATGCGCAAGTGAAAATGAATTCTTAATACCTGCTGATTAACAATAAAGTTTTGATTAACCATATATTTATATATATAATAAATAAATCATTCCAAATACTAGTTTTCGCTCTCAATTACAGTATGCGAAGTACTTGGTGGCCTTAGAAAGCAATGAAAGCAAAAAACAAATCTCACTGAGATCATTTATCTGGAGGAATTATCAAATTTAAAACTGATTAAGTTAGTCGCTATTGATGGTCATTATATATTTGTTTCTCAATTTTTTTTTTGCGAAATCTGCCTATTTATTGTCTTTGGGCTACTTCAGATAGTTGTGCAATAGGCAAAATATTCTTTATAATTGCCTTTATGGGCTGTAACTTAAGTACATAAACATAGACTATTTTTTTTCTGGAAAAACTTTTCAAATCGCTTTCAAAATAATGTCAAAAATTTTCAATCATATCGTATACATATACATACATAAGTATATAAAGATGAATGCCACTTTTCGTTGTGGTTTATAACTCAAGAACGGGCTCACCTAACCGCAACAATATTCAGGCTTTGTTCGGACTTTTTAGTAGATGGTTTATGTGAAGTTTGCACAAAATCGGTCCAGCGGTTCTTTATTTATCACATTTTTTTGTAACAGATAAATTCAATAAATTTTCAATGTTGACAGTACAAGCAATGTCGTGCCATATTGAAGGTTTTTTTAATATGGAGACTGACCCATGATAAAAAAAATTCTATAAGGTAGTTTCACTTCGAAATTTTTGACACTAAACGTGTTTGCTCAGAAAAGTCTCAGCTTGGAGATTTTTAAATTATTTTTTGGTTTATCTTCTAAGCAGATGCTATAATATTGAATACACGTATGGATCACTTAAAATAAATGTTTCAAGCCGTTTTTCTTAGGCGACAGGAATGCATCTCTAGGCATCATTAATCTCCTGAACTTCGTAAAATACACCAATTTCAAACAATTTTTTCTTCACAGAACCAATATGGGTATCATCAAGAGATCAGATCAGGGTTCCGTGACGGAGCAAGTTGTTTAACTAATTAACTGACTAATACCAGTATATTTAGCGGTTAAGATTGAATTCAAAAATGTTCGGAAGAAGAATCGACTTTTGACGTAGTTATGAAATTTTTATAATGAATTTGCACTGCTTTAAAAAACCAACAATTATTAAAACAATATTTCTTTGAAACATCTCTAAAACTGTGAGACTAATTTGCATTCAATCGTAGATATAGCAAGGTCAGCCAGCTCCTTGTCTTCTTCAATTCGATTTAAATTTTGATTCCTTTCTTACAAATTTACTAGTTATAATACAGCAGTCATGAAAGGCATACTAACGATGAACTCCATTATCAGGGGGTTGAAAAATACAATATAATACATGGCGTTTGAAAAATATGAATTCTCCACATAGTTTTTTATTTGAAAATGGCAGATGTTTTTTAAGGCAAGGGGGGAGCCGAAAGACGTTTAATGTCAGATAGCTTCGAAGCCGATTGCGAAGAGAGAGAGAAATTACCTTTAAATTATTGTATCATAGACTGACCTATTCTAAAAATCTTATTTATGGTTCGATTTACTTGAAATTCGGTACATAGTTGGCTTTTTGTTAAGATGAGCAGGACATCTACTCTTCTCTGCGGGAAGTGAACCAATGTCAATGGTAAAACTAAAAATGTTGCATTACAACAAGTATATATAGAGTAAATAAAGTTATGAGAAAAATATATCCCATGATTAATTTTTCACAAATTCAATAAGTATGTTCGACAGCGAAACGTTGCAGGGTACAGCTACTATGTTGTATTTTTGTCTAAACCAGTGATGGCTGAAAGGCTTTGCATTGTTACCGCTTTGATTCTTCAGCAACTATCCCGATTTGAATTTTGAGTTGTTCTTGAGTTCCTTTTTTTAACAGCCATTTTGTGAGCATATACAAAAGAAAAACATTTAAAACAGCGAAACCGTACGTTCAGTGCTGGCAAACTATGGTCTTTATTTTCAGTAACGGAAGGCCTGGTCATAGTTGTGTCATTCGTTTGTGATGATGTACAGTCGTCATAGTTTATAATATTTCCTGAATGGTAGAAGAAACTATAAGCGTTTCTTAAAAACCAGTTAGACTGTCGACGCTAAAATTTAATGACATATTTTCATGACGTCGAACTCTATCACGCTTATCGTTAAAGATGGATCAATGAATATTTTGATCCTAGTTTATCCGACATTTTTAATTCACCTGCCAATATCAGAAGTTAAACGATCCACTGTAAGGCGCAGTCATCACATTTTAAACTCACTCAATGAGTTCCTCGCTATTCCTCACCAAATCCACTTACGCTCCGGGAGAAATTAATTTTTTTTTTTTAAACAAAAAATTATCAATTAAATTGATTGCCGTTTTTCTTGACATACACACGAATGGATATAAATTCATTCATAATTTGTGTTAAAGCTTTCAAAAAAAAAAAAACAAAAACCGATGTCGAACAACAAGGAATCTTGGGACAAGAGAAAAGTGTGAAGTGGAACAAGATGTACATAACTCGCTAGCAAACTGGCCCGCGAAATATCACAAACCAACATACGCTAAATAAAACTAAATAACTACTCGTGTTTTAAGCAACAACTACACATACTGGCAGAAGCGGCACAGGGTCCACTTATAAAGGCGTTAAAACTTACAGAGACGATTAAAGGCTTAGTGTGGTACCTTAGACCTTGGACGTTTGCGACCGGTCAGATTATCATCAGGCATGACTCCCACAACAACTAATATGAACTTACGATGTATTAGACCGGAAGCTGAACATAACCTAATTCTGAAAAAAAATTGTATTACTTTGATTGAAAAATTGTCAAAAGCCTCTTTGTGAAGACACCCTGTAAAGTTGACTATCTACCCAGTCGTAAGTAATTTTATTGACAACGCTTGTGCAATAGGTGATGTTTTATGGAAACTAGTAATTGCGAGTGTAAATTAGTCACCCCACCAACGTCCGGCAGCCAGCTACTTAAGCCACCGGCGATGCGGTTTGCTGCCTTTCATAAACACGTATGATTACAAAGTACTTTTAAATGAGTATCTCATAATTGCAAAATTTAAGTACAAATATGAGAGATTAACACCACCGGCCGATGGGTTTTCCTTTTTCATGAAAGAGTGGTTTATACGATTGCTGGCAAGTACCATGTATAAGCAAATTTATCCGCAACGTGATTATCGACTAAATGTTGTTCTTCTAAATAAACTAAGCAAACTTCATCAAATTATAAAAATTTGCACGTACTGGTATGTAATTGAATCTTACCTACTCGTGCTCTAATGCCAGCAATTGCATATAGGCCAATTTGAATGATAATTTAAAACCGGGCAGCTCAAGCTGTCAGCGGTAGATTTGATCGTGTAAATGAAAGGAATATTTCTGAACAACAAAGTCTTATGGAATCCACTTTATTTTTTGTTCCAAGACCTTACTCAACCGACCGACCGGCCTGAGATCCACAAATTTTCTACTGTTCGATAAAATGGGTTTCCCTCTGTAATGATAAGGGGCGCCCGTAAGCCACGTGGTTCGATTAAGCGAAAATGGGAAAAGTTAAAATGCTACGCTGAACCACATAACGGAGGATAGGGTTGTGAGCAAATCCTAGATGAAATTTTGTCAAATAAAAAAAAAATTTTTTTTTTTGCTAATGGACAAACAAAAAGAAGAAGAATAGGGACGATATCGTCGTACTCGAAACGAGTCTTATCGTTATCACGATATAATTTTCAAGGGTACGTTGAAATAGTTGCAATAGCACCGTTCACATAATGTTCCCAACTCTGGTGACTTGTCGAGAATGAAATGCATTCTCTTTGCCGATTCATTCGTGGGCTTTTAAATATCACAATTGAAATATTCCATGATAGTCCAAATATTAGGACAGTCACAATATTTTAAAAAATCTCTTTCTAGCGCGATATACATGTAAGAGTTTTCAAGAATAAGTAAACTACATTAGATCATCCCAAATACACTTAGTTTTTGATAATGATTGAAGCTAATTAAAAATAAAACATTCTCCAATCATTTCCTTGTATTTCTCACACTACCTTTATTCGTTATCCAAAAGACTTACAAATCATTTATATTGAATTTTTTTATTCCGAAATCATCCCGATGGGCAAATGATTCGCTACACATATATGTGTATACATACTTGTATGTATAACTGAAAAAATGTGCCGTTAAAAAAATTATGGCTATAAAATGAAAATTAGAAAACTTCATGGGGTATTTATTTCGACTCCTCGTCAGATGACAAATATTGGTCGCTGTAATCGTAGACATCGTCCAAAGATAAAAGTATCTGAATCGCCTTAATTATACAATCTTCACTACTATTTGGTTGAATGGGCGCTGGATTGAGTGCGCGCTTTTGCATCAGCCATTCCAAACGTTTACGTAACTCCATTATAACCTTCGCTGTGCCGGGATCGCATTTAAAGTAGTAAGTATGTCCCACAGATATGTAAAACACTTTATGCTCAGTATAGCCAGTTGCCACACCGTCCCCAAATATGATCAAGGCCATGGGAAAGACCATAGTGGCATCCAAAAGGAAGACGCTTGTTGATTTCTGCTTTTGGAAGTAGACAAAATAATGTGAGTCAAAGGAAGCCTCATTGCTATTCACCGAAGATGGATGGAAATTGACACGTTTTTCTTCCGGCGTGCAGAGGTGTTGTATGGCATTCACATGATTCTTTGTGCGACGCACTTTACTTAAAAATGCCATATTCGGGTACAAGCCGGCCGCAATGACTGCACGTAGTAGGGGAATATTATTTGCATTCTCATTTGATGATTTGGCGCTGCACTGGACGGATTCTGTAAAGCTGGCAACGCGCAGTAAACTGGCAAACTGACGTTTCATATCCTCCAGCTGTTGTAGCGTTCCGAGATTTAAAAAGTTCTTGTAACAGAAATCTCGCTCCGAACCATCTTCGAGCGATTCACGGTAATTAAGAACCACATTGTCGATCATAAGATGATCGCTGCGTTTGTTTGCAGAGAGCTCACGTTTAACACGATCAACATCCTTCTCTTTGCCCAGTGGCGTATAAAATGGCGATTTAAATGAGAGACCGGCCGCCACCGAAGTAATGGGATCCATGCAACGAAACAGCGCAGCCATCACAAGCATTTTGCCAATTTGCGGATCGACCGGTAAACGTGCCAAATGCATGCCCAGCGGTGTTAATGTACCCTCCGTGTCCAAAGCATTGATGCGTTTCAACAAATTTACACCATTCATTATGGCCTGATTTTCGGGCGGTGATATGAGCGTGTTCAAGAATTCATTTACATTTTTTATATGCAACATTTTCAAACTCAAGATGGTAGACTCTAGTTTTGTGCGCTTTATTTCCGGCACAATCTGCTCCAACATTGTCTTCTCACGCGCGCGACTAAAGAGATTATAACAAATACCGGGCTGCACGCGTCCGGCGCGTCCCTTGCGTTGCTGTGAGTTCGCTCTTGTCACCCAAGTCTCTTCGAGTGTCTGCAGATTGCCCGGCACATTGTAATTATTTGTTTTCATGCGTCCGCAGTTGATGACGTAAACGACATCGTCAATGGTGACCGAAGTCTCAGCCACTGTGGTGGAAAGTATGACTTTGCGTATTCCGAGCGGTGAGGGTTGGAAGACGCTCTTTTGGAACATGGTCGGCATCATGGAGTGCAGTGGATACACTTGTATCTTGCGTGAATACCGTTGGCCGATCGGCAGTGTGGGATTTTGTAGTATCGAATTGAGCTTAGAAATTTTATCATAACCCGGCAAAAAAACCAAAATCGCGCCTGGTGGTTTCGTATCACAAATGTAGAAAATCAAATGCTCTAGAAATTGCAAATTCTCACAACCTTCCGAATCTGTGCACCGCAATGACTGCAGCACTTGTGAATCGTATTTATCTTTGATTTGACGCAAATATGGCTCTATCATAGCGGTGTATTGAAAATCATCGGCATTCCGACGGTTGAATTGCTTGCCATGATATCGTGGCATATTCTTGGCGCACTCGTGTGGATTATTACGAAAACGTGTGAAACCGGTCTCTTGTATAATGTCTTCCAAATAATTCACCTTAACCGGATACATGGAGCCTTCAATGTGTATGGTACAGCAATTGTTGAAGTAATCGCTAAATTCCTCCTCCGATACTGTGGCACTCATAAGTATAACCTTCAAATTCGGACGGTGTGGTAAGATGATTTTGAAAAGGGCCAACAACAAGTCTGTTTCCACGCCACGCTCGTGTATTTCATCAATAATTATTACACTAACGGCACTCATAAGAGGATCGGTTTGTAGTTTCTGCAAAAGCACGCCTGTGGTGCAATACAATATAGAGCCACTCTCGCGTGGCATTTCGCACTCCAAACGTATTTGATAGCCCACCGAAACACCCAACCGCTCGAGTCTTTCGTAGGCAACACGCTCGGCAACGGTAACTGCCGAGATGCGACGCGGTTGTGTGCATACCACATGACATTGGGAGCCGCGATTGTTATAAATATAATCGTCCAGTATGAGTTGTGGCACTTGTGTGGTCTTACCACAACCCGTACTACCAACTATAAGGACCACTTGATTGTCTTTAATCGATGCCAATATGCGGTCACTCTGCTTCATTGTTGGCAATTTCAGCCGCTGCTCATAACGTTGCTGAAACTCTGGATCGCGTTCCTTTGATAGAATCTCTGATTTGTAACGTTGATTCTGAAATTCATTATCCTGCAGTTCGGCATTCATTGCCTTTGTACTGGCAATGAAATCCTCGAAATCACTGCACAACAAATGACGAAATTGGCCCTCAAAGTCTTTTAAAACCTTCTCATCTTCACAGCTCTGTTCAAATCGTCGTAAACTCTCTTCAACCTTTGCCAGCACTGTTTGCGGTACGCTTACGCAAGGACCCAATCTCAGGGACGGCGTTTCACCACTCTCCCGTTTTCTTTTCGATAGATTACGATAGAATAAACCGATATCGCGTCCGCGTAAACCAGGCGGATGGCGTATGCGTTCTCTGACATTACGGTCCATTTTTTCGGTTTTACTGAATCTGAAAAGAGCGTATTTTTACGTATGTATATACACAAATAATTTTTTTTACGCCAAAAAGAAATGAAAAAATACACAAAGAACAAACGAAAAACTAAAAGTCTCTTTAACGACCTAAAATATGTAACATATATTTTTTAGAAAATTAGAAAATAACAAAAATCTGTACACAACGAGTTGCCATTTGAATTACAGAAAATTCAAACAAGAAAACATATTTCGAACTAAAGATGAAAATCTAGAACAAACTGGGAAATATTAAAAAATAATCCTAAGAAATATTTAGTTCCTAACAACTAGAAAGAGCAACGAGTTCAGTTTAGCCAAATATTTTGTACATAAGTTTCATAACAAGAAAAGATAGACCGAAAGATATAGATCAAAGGATCGCACTGTAGAGGAGCTCCAAATAAAAGAATCGTGCCGCGCTCCTGGATACTAAGCATTCACCGCCAAAACCACAAACAAACATAATGAACTAAGTTACTACAATAACGATTAAAAAAAATTTACTCTTACTATTTACACATTGACATAATGGTCGAGGAGTTGGCGAGAACAGCTGATCAACCAATATTGAATTTGTTAACACCATCGCAAGTTCTTTAACAAACCGAAAATTGCTAAAATAGAAAAGACAATACCACAGCTATTTGGGATCGCTCCTCCACCCACTGAGTCGATAAACAAAAGGTTTAATTAGCCGCTCGGAGACGCCTTAAAAACATGAGTCCCTCCACTTGCAAAAAAAAAAAGAAAATCATGACGAACATAACACCTTGGCTCGGGTTCGGTCGAAAATCTTTCCAGCGGTTGCGAAGTAAAAAATATATACGTATAAATATATATTGATATAAAAGAAAAGATTTTCGACGGAGCCACTCCTCCAATTTGATACGCTCATCGTATATATATATATACATTGATGTATATGATGATGGAAGTTGTGTTTTTCGAGGTCAATTGAAACACCGATTTCAACTACAACAATATTAACAACTTCAGAAGTTGATATCTCTAAAGCCCAATGTAATAGCTATTTTCATTCTTTGAATAAAAAAAATCATCCTAATACTTGAAAATATTTATAAATGTAATGTTTTTGCATATATTCTTCCAAATGCTCACATTCATAAACATTATAATATTACGACTTTTATTTTTTAGTAATATTTGATCGGTTGGTTGATTGATTACTTTTTAACGAAATGGGTCCACATTTAATGATTTTTTCTTTTCTTTCGAAAATAATAGCAATTAGAAGATTTAATTTTTTTCTGATTGCGTTTGATGATTAATTTAAATTTAAAATCTCTTGATCAAATTTGAATAGAATTTTAAGATTTTTATTTTTTTGTCCGAATAATGATTATGATCTAGTCACATTTGATCTGAATATTTAGTTATTCTAATTTTTTTTTAGATATTTCAAGTATCAAGTTGAAAACAGATTATGCTAACAAAAATTGATAAGCTTTAACGCATAAAATTTAAAATAGTTTATAAGTAAAGAACGCTAAGAAGCTGGGACCCAATTAAATGTTACCAGAAAATACAGCATTTAAAAGCAAATCTAAATGTAATGTAATTCTTTTTTAAAAAATTTTTATCATATGTAATAATCGAATTTCAGCCCAATCTTAAATTTATCATAGTTACTTAAAGATATTTATTATATTTGTACTTAAAATTTCTTTTAAAATTCATGCACCAGAACTTTTTCTTTATTTATGTTATTTATGATATTCTCCATGTAAACAAGATAAGTAAATGTTTTTAAATTCATATTCATGAAGAGAATATTATAGTGGAAATTTGATCAATCGATTATAAAGTAGAGTTCCCATTTGGATGAATGTTCAGATAGTGATTTAAGATCAAAACTTGGACAATTAATATATTGATGAACTAAATTCGTAGCTTAAGTAAAAAATTGTTAAGGAAAAAAATTAGAATTTAAAATTAAAAATAAATAAATATACATATATACAAAATACAGTACCAAATTTTTTAATTCAATTTTCTCTTTTTTCAGCCATGAATAAATAAAAGAGAATTCGCGTTAGGAAAAATTGTTTTTGACCATATGGAGCGAGTGATTTCATTGATCCCTAATTATTTTTCTACTTTACAACCTTCATTAAAAGCAAATTGCTATTGTAACTAATTAAAGTCCAAAATGATTTAAATCGGTGGAAAATTAAAAATATTAAATATAAATATGTAATAAAAATATAAATATGTAATAAGCAATATAAATAATTAAACGAAAAATAAATAAAAATAAAATGAAAAAAACAAAACATTTCTACCAATCGAATTTATCGAATTGTTAATCATTGAGAAAAAAAACTTAACAAAAGCACAACTGAAATAAAATATATGTATATTCGAAACTTGCCTTTAGTAAACATAAATGTGCTTTAAACAACATACACAGTAAAAATAAAATTTAAAAACTACTATAAATACTTGCATACCTATGTACATAAAGTGTAAATTGTTACAAGGTTGTCCCCCACAATAAACAAACAAATTACAAACGAACGAGTGAGCAAAAGCAAACAACTTTTTTAGAAAACACCTCACCAACTGGGCATATCTTTTTTAATGATGCACAAAATATAATTGTACATTTTATTTTTATTTTTTTATCTATGTATGTACGAGTATTTATATACTATGTATTGTAGATAGAACAAATTGAACGACTGCCAGGCGGTAATGAGAAACTACACCGTTTGAGTTTTTTCTTTTCCTTTTATAATCTCTTTTTTCTATTTTAGCTTACCATGTTCATTTTATTCATTCATTAACTAAAATTGATTCATTAAAAACTGCGAATGGCTTTTGCGTATGGCCTTTAAACGCACATATGCTCTGTACGGGTACTACATATAATACTACCTATGTACACGTATATGTGTGTATGTATGTACATATATATGTAGCGGCAAGAAAGAAACGAAATCATTCATTATACGGGTATTTTCGAAAGTCAATGACACTTTTCATGCTAATTTTATTTTAGATTTATTTAGTTTAACATTGGTTAGCTACGTTGCTAATGTTTTATTCAATTTTAAAATTTTTCATTTTGTGCTTTTTAATGCCGCTCATTCATCGCCATCAAATGTTTGATAATTACTCGTTTTTGGCAATGCTACTTTGTCAACTAATTGGCAAGTGAGATTTCAAATGATCACGACGGAATTGTTGAAGGCATGGTCATAATAATACTTTTTTTTTTAATTATATAATTTTTTCCTAAATAAAACTATTTTTCAGTAAATATTAAGTGCAAATATGTATAGCTTTTTATGTTGTAAAATTGAAATTAAAAATTTCTGAAACTAAAATTTGAAAACAAAGGCAGATAAGAATTTTAAATGTTTTTTTGTTGTATTTTACTTCAATTTCTGTTTGTTCTTATTCATTTTTTATTAAATTAGTAATTCATTATTTTTTTGTTTTTTATTTTAGTTTTTTTATTTCACTATAATATTTTCTTTTATTTTCGAATTTCTTATATTTAAGTTTTCAACTTTTTTTAATCTCTCTATTTCTCATTTTATACCCTTTGAACTTTTCAAATTTTTATTAATTTTTCATGTTTTTTAATTTTTCTTATTTCTTTGTTTATTTTTCTTCTTATTTAATTTTATTCTTTTAATTTTTACCTTAATTTTCCAATTTTTCGCTTCACATATTTTTTATTTTTTTTATTTCTTTTATTTAATTTTTTTTTTAATTTTTTATATTTTTTATTATTTTATATTTTATTTTTTATTATTTTATTTTTCTTTTTTTTTTTTTTGTTATTTTATTTTTCATTTTTTTTTATTATTTTATTTTTCATTTTTTTAATTATTTTTTTCTTATTATTTTTTTTATTATTTTTTTTTATTATTTTTTTTTTATTATTATTTTTTTATTATTTTTTTTTATTATTTTTTTTTTATTATTTTTTTTTTTATTATTTTTTTTTTTTATACTTTTTTTTATATATATTTTTGGTATATAACTTTGCTTAAACATTTTGCGCCGAACATTTGAGAAAAGTCTTTAAAAATAATTCCACCCAACATTT